TGCAGGAGCCAGCTTCTCCAGCTCTACTAATGTGTTGTGGGTTTTGTTAGGACAGTGGCTGTTATGTGAGACACCTTTTTGCTGCAGGGAGAACCATCTGCATCTGGATGGTCCTGGTTAGTTATGGGCTGAATATCAGGACAGATAGCTCAAAAGAAAAACAAGTATGAGATGGCATTTTTGCCTCTTTAGGGGCACATGACAAAAATACAGTTGTGATACTCTTGCCAAACAAGAGTTGGTCAGAGCTCAGAATGTATAATTTTTTTTTTTTTTTAAATGGCTTAGCTTATTGGTGCATTTCATGTCCTGGAAGAATCTCTTGTAAAACAGAGTGATATTTTTGACCTTTAAAGTGGTGATTTGAAAAGATCAATTAGATATCTCTTCACTTCTGTTAATGAAGGTATAATAAGAGCATCTGGATCTGAAGGCCCTGTTTGAAAGGTTATAGAAGAGACCTATTGGGTAAAGATGGATTTTTTTTTTTTTTTTTTTTTTTTTTTTTAATTAAGTAGCCAAGTAAATCAAGTGCTACAGCTCTTTGGTCAGAATGATATAGCAGAGATAATACCTGTAGCTGAGATAACTATGGTTTCAACCCATTCCCTACTGGAAAAGGGAAGGTAATAGTAAAACTGGTAGTTTATGAAGACTAGGAATGTGGAAGGTGAAATTGCACAAATGGATAGGTGAGAGAATGTAATGTATGTTACTTGGTGAAGGAAGAGAATCTATTCAGTGTTTCCTATGTGGCTGATCTCTTAATTATGAGGTACTGTACAGATGTGACCTGGAATACAGATTAACACTTTTGTGGCCTTTTTAAATGGCACTTACTTGCTGTCTGAGTGACAGCTGTGGGCAGTAGTGGTGAGGTAACTGAGTAATTCCCACTGCAGTTAGAGACCCTGCCATGCTGTTCGTCACCTTCCAACTTTCTGCAGTTCTAGGCTCATGAACTAGGGAGACATGCTTGTTAAGTGTAATAATGCTGGTTATATTTAACTAAAATAATCCTGTTGAAGTAACTTTTGTCTAGCAGTGCATGTCAGTTGTGTGAGCCAGGTCTTCAGGTCAGTGTTCAGTTGACTGAGTGATGAGACCATGTGTTAGTCTGTTTTCTTGATTTTTATTGTGGGTTTTTACTCTTTCACTTAAATTTCTTGGAAACAACTCTTCATTACACAGCATTCCTCTATTTTTAGAGTGGGTAGATTCCCTTCACTGAGTAACATAGAATTTAGTGTCTTGTGGGAGGAGGGAGTGGAAGGGTTAAGTAGGTAGTACCTAATCTTATCATTTAGGACTGTTACTGTACATGGGCTTGGAAATTCTAAGTTTGGCACTTACTAACTAAGGTTAAAAGCTAAAGAATAACTTGAAGTGCATCAGTTCCTTTGAATTACTGCTGCATAATTTCCTTTCTGTTGTTTATTTTGTCTGTCTTCTAGCTTTTGGTAAATAATTGTCTCAAGGCATTTGAGGCTAAAAAGTTCAGTAGGACTTGGTTTAAAATAAAAGTCTACTTCAGGAAATGTTTGTGTATGATAGAATAAAAAGTGCGAGCGGAACAAACTTCTGTATTTCACAGTACAAGTCTATTATTGAGACTTGGCATGTGCAGTTCCTTATCTTCTCTTCCCTAAGAATAATAACATTATTTGTTACCAGAGACGACACTGTACAAACTGGAGAATTAAAGAGCATTCTGTTGGCGTGATTTGGGCTTTCTTTGCCTGTCTTAATCTCCCTCAAAGAAATAGTAAAGGAGCCCTGAGCTTTTCTGCTTGTAGTGGTGAAGTTACACCTGTTTGGGATTAAGTCCTTGAATATCCTAATGTAGGTGCCTTTTAACTTGAATGCTTCTTTTAGTGATGTCCAGTAGTTGTCTGTTAATTAGTGGCTTCTTCAAGATGTTACTTACGCTTGTGTCTGGTGGACTAGTGCTAGAAGTAGTAAAGGTAGCTGTAAAGTTTGCCTGATAAACAGGTCTGTGGCTGGAGCAGGGATGCCAAAGGTAAGGTAGGAGGTAGCTTCCAGGTCTGAATTCCTATAACTTGATTTTCTGCTCCTCTCATTAGTGAAAGAAGGTCAAAGCCTTTTGCTATGGAGAGATGATACTCTGAGATTAACTTCTCTTATGCTCTTGTTTTCTGGTGACGCTAGAACTGAGTGTTGTGTAGGAGCCCCATGCTTACAATTCAGTACTTGTTTGAAGGGTTGGTTCCTAGTTAATCTGAAACTGTGTCTGACAGATACTTTGGCATCTCTTGTGTGAACAAATCTCAAGTGAAATATGCGTATCCTCTTCCATCTTCTGTTTTCTAGAAAATGGCAATGACCAGAATTTTTTTTTAATGCTACTAGCTCTGTATGGAATTAGAAGATCTTCAGATAAGGATTTATTAGTCTGGCTATAGTGTTGCAGTAATATTTACATTACATGCAAAATGGAGAGCTGCACCACCTTACTTCAGCAAATCCTGGTGTTCACCACAATTTCATTTGAAGCAGTTCACCTCTGCACCTCAGTAAGATGACTTTGATTTTACCAATAGTCACCAGATTGGGAAAATGTGGGTGTAGGTTTTCTTGTTTAGTTTTAATTTGCAATGATACATGTTAAAGCTAGCTCTTTTCATGTATCTCACAGGTGAGTCCCAGGGATAAGTTGTGATAATGGACAGGAAGTGTAGTGGTGCTTTGTAATAGTGGTGCTAATTAAAGCTGATATTGTTGCTGAGGTTAACGCTATCGTAACACAGCCAAGGTATAAGAGAAACTCTTCTAGCCTGCCTCATGCTTCTGGAGTCTGATCTTATGGTCCAGTGAGTGGTTAAATGGCAGCTTTGTACTTGTACAAGGGAAGTAATTTACTTCTGCTTTAAGGAAAATAGGTACTCAAAAGTAAAAATTGAAGACCTTGCAAAACACGAGGTAATCAATGCGTCTCTCCATATTACTGGAGAATGCAGATTACATTCAACTTTTCATTCCTCTCTTTCTCTGCTGAAACTGACTATTCTCATGGTCTTAATGTGTGGTAAACCCGCAGGAGAAAGTGAAATGGTACTTGGGAGAAAAAAAACCCACCAAAGATACTATGAGATGTGTGAGCTCACTTGCATGAGAGGAATGTATTCCTTGTTAGTTGCAGTAGATTTCTGTAAAACATGTAGTAGAATTCAGAGTCCTTCTTCTGGTGTATATTGTATCACTTAGAGGCCACAGAATAGACTAACAAAGGTAAAAATATATTAAATTATGTTTCCAGTTTCTTTAAAGTGCCATTAGGATGTTGATTTCCTGAACCATAGTTATTTTTCTTCTGAAATATGGAAGTAGCATCTTAGTCTGCTTGGTAATGTGTGAAAACACCAGAGCTGTCAATAGGCTAAACCAATCCCAACAAGAAAACCCAGGGTTTGTTTTGGAACTATTTTCCACTGTTTGGACAGTTCAGTAGTCCAGAAAAATACTGAATAAGAAATTCTTGTTAATATGATAATTAACTTGAAGTAGTGTTCAACACATTCAAAAGTAAATACAAGTCTCCTATAGCTGTAGGTTGGTAAACCTGTCATTAGTCAAATCTGCCACTTGAATGACCCTAGTCTTTCTTCAGACTGCTTGGAGTCTATTTCTTAGAATTAAAAAAATAGCATCAGCTCTGGGAAATTCTTTTGCTTTTTAGCAGATGATTTAGGTTCATCACGCTTGGATTTTTACAATCTAATTTGATTTGGGAATCCGTTATATTTGGAAAACTCTCACACAGTCCCTGTTAAGATTTAAATAACATTTGAGGCAAGACTAGACTTTCATGCAGACCAGTATTGAACTGGCATTAATGGCTAGCTAGATACTGTTTTCTCCTGTCAGTCACCTTACAGACTTTTAATACTATCTTACTTAACAAGGAATAAAAAATCTGTTAATTGTGACTGAGTGTTATAACATATTTGTATTTGGAATTTTAGTCCTTGGTATTTACCAGAAAACCCAGAGAGGCCTTCTGGGCAACCAAGTTGAGAATGTTAAGTGTAGAAGTTGTACCTGTTTATGTCCTACAACTTTGAGATGCAAATATGACTGTATGAAGCTGTATCAAGATCTTACTTAGTTGAAAGCAAGCAGATACTAAGCATATTTTTTTTCTGTCTTAACCTCCTTACTTTCCCTCAGATCTTGGAGCTTGAAATGTCTACTGTGGTTACAAAGGCTTCCCAAGTTGAACAAATGTTATGATCACTCTGTTTGGATACAGTGGAAACTGCTGATTTAGGAATAGCGTCTTGGCAGATTATTTTGATAACCATCTGTATGTGTTGGTGGTGTGTTGCCAACTGTTCAAACAGTGTTGCCAGAGTTGGGTTTATGATTTCTTAGAGCTACAGTAGCATAGGCCTAAGACAGGCAGGATTTTGAAAATTTGAGGATGTTTCTGGCTTTGCCTTTCCTGCACTCTTTGTAACATCATCTTAAAGAGAACACCTGGATAAGTGGGAATGGGGATTTTGGGAACTTGAGAGAGTGTGGCTACTGAAGAACTTGTTGCATGTCATTAGAGGAAGAGGTGTTGACCTAATGGGTAGAAGAACAATGTGAAGAAATTCCAGTGGAACATACATATTTATAGCTTAGTGTAGTGATGGTGAAACAGCTAGAAGCTTACTTTCTCAGTCATAGAAAGGAAGTCCTCTCCTGTTGTATACTTGAACTTCAAATTAAAACACATTATGATAACAATGAGTAAGTTTGGATAGAAGAGGCTTGTAATGGGTATTTCCTTATGTAAGTAGGAAACTCACGCATGTTTGTTTAGTGGGTGTAAATGAAGTGTTTCACATAGGCTTTGGTGGTGGTGGAGAATATAATTACTTTTTCTGATTTTGTATGTTTAGGATGCTCATGTCTTCCTGTTTCCGTAGAAGAAAAAGATGTGTTCTGTATTAACTGGAAACACTGTCTCTTGCTTCTCCCTTGCACACTCACAGAAAGCCACGAAGAAAACTGACAAACCTAGGCCAGAGGAGAAGGATGACCTAGATATAACAGAGATGAGTAATGAAGATCTTCAAGAGCAACTTGTGAAGTACGGACTAAGTCCTGGCCCGATTGTAGGTAAGTCAGCTGAACTAGCAATTGTTTGTCCATTCAACATATTTCTCACTCAGCCTCAGTTCTGAGTTCTCTAAGCTTCTCTGATACAGTTGCATACTGAGTTTAGTACCATTACTGTTGCAATCCTACTTCCCACTTAATAGTTCAATGAAAATATCTCTACTCTGAGAAGACTTGAAGTGTTGTAGTGTAGGCAAGTCCACAGTTTATTCCTCTTGTGTTCTAGGCCAGCTGGAGATGTTCCAACTTCTGTTCTGAAGCTGTGTAACTATTAGTTACAGTTCAGTGCTGGGGTAATTAGGTCTTCTGATACAGATGTTGGGATCTGGGACCTGCTTAAATAGAAAATACATCTTACATAATAACCTAATAGTATTAAGAACAGAATGACAACATGGATCTTCTCCTTCCCTAGAGTATTTCCTACTTACTGTGTTGTGTGGTAATGTTTTCCTTTGCTGTTTTTTGTGTGTGGTTTTTTGGGTGTTTTTTTGTATGTGTTTCCCCACTCCTGTCCCCTTGAACCTAGCATTCTATCCTGCATGCTAACCTATGTCAGGAGAAGTCCTGGCCCCAGCTTAATCTCCTGCCTTAGACACTCATCTGTGATATAGGATCAAAGCTCCTTGCTTTTCAGATTGTGCACTAGCCTAATGGCAAGGGACTTAGATCTCACAACTCTTCAAAAATAGGTAGTTGTAGTGTGCTGATCCTTCTGTGGAATGTCCTTGAAATCCTGGGTGGATGGAATTGTCAGCATCGAGTCCTGTGTGTATTCAAAGTCTTATGAATAATAATTTTTGTTAGCTGTTTCTGTATGCCTCCCCATTCAACCTGTTCTTGGATAGCCCTCAAGTTGTTCAAGAAAAATTCAAGTAACTATGCAGTCCACTGGGAATATGTTCAAATTGGGCCTAAGTGACAGCCTTAGTTCTTACAGCATATGGGCTCTGGTTCTTGTGAGAGGCTGCCACTTATGGGTGTCAACCTTTTATCTGAAATTTTCTAAGGTTACACTTATCTGCAGCTAACAGCTTGGGCACCAGTCACCTCTACAGATTTTTGGCAGCACAGTCCCGATGTGGATGTGCTACACTTGATACCTTTCAGTTTTAAACAGCTATCCTTTTAGATCAGGTAAACCAACCTGATGGCTAGGTGCAGCCAACGGGAAGTTTTGTTGTAGCTGCTTACTTACACCATCTCTGATGCTTATTGGTCTGAATTTGCCAATGGGGCAAAGGTTAAAATAAGGGGGAAGGGATTTTAATTCCAGGATAAAGGTATTAAGAAGATAGTAGTGGAATATGCATGGAAAGCGTTGCACTTGCAATATCAATCTCACTATTTTATTGTGAGGGCCTACTAACTTGTGTACTGGAGCATGAGAGACAAAACATTGAAGAAGCAGGCAAGTTCCCTTTCTATAGATAAATGCCTGTAACTTTCAGTGTACTAACAGGTCTACGTTTTTTGTTTTAGAGAATTTTTAAGATAAAAAGTTAGAAGCCTTGGAGGTAGAGTTGCATACCTAGAGGCATATGCTCTCTGTCCTGTAGACCAATTAAAAATAAACTCCACAAGTTCAGAGATTCCCAAGGATTACATATAACAGCCATGTTCTAGCAATCAGGTCAGGAAAGATGAAGACTGTATCTTTAGCATATATCCTTCCTTGTTATAGCTACTACTAGGAAGCTTTATGAGAAAAAACTGCTGAAATTGATGGAGCAAGGTCCAGAGCTGAAGGCACCTGTGCCCTTCCCAGTGGTTTCTTCAACTTCCGAGAACACCAGAGAGAACGGAAATAACGATTCTGACCAGTACAGTGATAGCGAAGAAGGTAAGACAAGTGGAACTTGTGCGTGAACTATTCAAATTTATAAATCAGCAATACTTGCAGTAAAAGAAGTATCTTAAGAGGGCAAGATACTGCTTTTAGGTAAGGCTTTAAGATACTGCTGTAGACCATGTCACATACTTGATCATGCAGAACTAGCAGTTATCCAAGTGCTCGCTCTGCGAAAGGAAACTTTTTGCTGCTAAACTACTCCCTTTTGTCCATTTTCCCCAGATTGGAGCCTGTAAATCTGATAGGTAGGAGAATTGTTTTAAGTGTTCCAGTGTTTATTATTTTGGCTTGTTTTTGGATTGTAATTTGTTGCCCTTTCAGGGAGGGAAGGGATGTTAGATATTTATTTATTTATTTTTAGGACAGTTAAGACCCCTGTCACAACTAACAGCTGTCTCCTTATACTTACATATGCTTCATCTAAGTTCCAAACTATTCAAACACCAGGGAGTAAGAAACCAAAACTGAACACACTACCTTCCTCTCAAAAAGAAAAGTTTCTATGCATTAATGCTTAAAAACCTAGGGGATCTTAATTGATAAATTCTAAATATATTGGTGTAATGCTATTAGAACTTTAGAAAGGAGGTGGAAGTAATATGTGCTCTTACTGCTCACCCTTCTGCATCAAAAAGAAGTTTTATCTAAAAGGACTGATAGGACTTATAGGAAACTAAACTAACAGCCTAAACAATGTTGAAAAGCTTCAATCCCCTTACTATTAATAGTATAATGGTACTTTTGGTTTAAGTAATTGCAGCTTAATACCAGTTTCTAAGTGGAACTGCTGGATTGGTCAAAGCTTATCTGAAATGCAGGATTTTTATGGCAAAACAAATACTTGGGTCAGTGTTTTAAAATAACTTTTATCCTTCAGAAGTCTTTCCTTCTACATTCAATGGAAAAACTTACCTGTGTCTCACAACTTTTTAAAGAAATACTAACTCATAACGAAGTTATTCTGCCTCGTATAATGAATCGTTACTAAAATACAATTGGTTTAAACTAGTACAAGAACCAGTAGTGTTATTGAAACTAGTTATATTAAAACCAGTTACAGATCCGAAAACTGATCTGAGGCTTGAGAAGAGAGAACCATTGAAATCGAGAACGAAGACTCCACTAGCACTCAAACAAAGAGTTGTTGAACACAACCAGGTATGTTGAATTTAGTGGCATCTGGCATGGCTACTAACTGCAGGTGATGTGCTAACTAAACAAGTTACTACTTTTAACATAATCACCTTTGACTGAGTGAGCTGTGCTGGTTTTAAAAGTTCTTTCAGAAAGCCTGTTCTAATATAGCATGAAAATCTTGTGAATTAACTATAGCTGCTGTTTTTAGCCTGTCTGAAAACATTCAAAATTAGAGTCTGCTGAAAGCTGTTTGTCTGACTCGTCAGCTGCTATAACACATCTTAGAGAAAAATAATGGGCAACCTTAACGCGTAGTTTTGGAAACCTGACAGGTTTTTAAGTCAGATGGGCTGATGTCATCCTGTTGGATGTTTATGAACAACTTGATTCAGTAAAACAGGCAGTTTCTCAAAAGAAGTTTGGAAAAATGTTGTTTTGTTTCTTGTTTGTGGTTTTGGTTTTAGAAATATTTTTTTAAAATACATATGCGTATATCGTATTTGTATCTGGTTTGATATCTATAAATATATGTGCATTGTAAATACATCTGTTTTAGTGACTGATTTAAGTACAGTACATCAAGTAATGTAGTTCTGTATATGCCTATACTTACATACATGGAAGTGTGTATGTGTGTGTACACACAAGCACCCACTCTCTATATAGTATTTTTTCCTCAACTACACTTACCGCAGCAGTACTAGAATAGACTTTAATTTGCTGGAAAGCTTCTCCTAAGAAGAAAAATAATACCAAGTTTAAATCTTGCTGTATGTACCACCTGTCCTTTACTTAGAAATAATATTGGTTCCATTGTCTTGGAGAAAGAGGGATTTTACAGAAGCACCTCAGGTTTTCAAACTGCTGCCTAAATACTGGACTTTGTAGTTGGTGGCTGCCATGGTTTAACTCTGGCCAGCAAAATACCACAAAGCTACACTCTCAAATCCCCCTCCCCTCCTCCAGCAGACCGGGAGAATCAGAGGAAAAATAAATA